AGGGTGCCTGTGATTCATTTGATGCTTGAACAAGGAGGGCAGCTTCCTATTGGTCAGGAGACACTGCACTGTGTGCTGCGGTAGTAACAGACATCACATTTTAGGATCATTCCTACTGTCACCAAAAAAGCAAATGTTACTTGACTATAGTATTGACTACTATAGGGACATAATGTAAATACATGTGTACAGTGGCCACAAAAAATATTTAGACACTCTTATGGATTGGATGTATTGCCATATTGAAAATATTAAATATGAATAAATATTTAAATACAAAAATTCACATACAAATAAAATATTTAAATATCTACCAAATTTTCCTCATTATTAACTTTACTTTTCTAAAATAGTGTGTGCAATTACTTTTAACCAAAAGTTGAGCTAATTTTTATAAATATATTTACTGGTATTTGCACATTCATTCATATTCATGCTTGGTAAAAACTTGAAGATATGTAAGGAATATTTTCGGTTAAGTTTAAATGAGTTTAAAAATGGGTCTCGAAATGATTCGCTTAGGATCACATCAGAAATGGGAAAATTATTTATTTTATATGGTTTATTTACTGAAAAAAATGGTGTAGGAGTACTTTGAAGCAATTTTCACTCATAAAATGGCTTGAAAATTTCACAAATAATTACAAAGGCACGGCAAGTAACACCATTGAAGTAAACATGAAATGTGAAAAAAATTAATATATTTCCAATTAAAATATCTAACCATCCTTAAATCAACATAAATTTACATAAGATGCAAAATAAGCACGTCTTTGTTTTCAGAGAAACTGAACAAAATTGAGTAAGTTCATGCTTAAAACAAGATCAAACATCTGTCAGTGGGGTGTGAAACTTGTTTTCGCTTTGAATTAATTGGATTTTTTGAGCCCATTGGCAGATATTTGTTCTTGTTTTAATCATAAACTCAGTTGATTTTAATCAGTTTCTCATAAAACAAGACTTCTTATCTTATGTCATTTTGCTTCTCAAGTAAATGGATCTTGATTAAAGAAACTTCAGACATTTGCACTTGAAAACAAGACAAAATCCGGAGGAAGAGCATCACTTTTTTTGCAGTGAGTTCAGAAGGTACAGTAAAAGTTATTTCCATATTCTGGTGGTCGGGAGCAGAGCTATTCAAGCCTTAAGCTTTTTTTTTCCTTTTCATTTTTGTAAAATTAATTAAAACGCGATGGAGATCTGTTGAAAGTTGTATTTTCCAAATTTAAAGCGTTGCTAATACAAGACATTTGCATTTAGAGACTATATTAGCTTATTGTGTTCCATTCAGTTTATTCCTTTCTTTACTTGGACTTAAAAAAAGTCTTAAATTTACCTTCATAAAACATGCGGAAACCCTGAACTTCGAAAATTACATTTTACAATGTATGTACACTTTGTTAGTGGCCTTATGAAAAGGCCCTTTATTTGGAGTGAGTCTTCGAGTAGCGTCCGCTTCCAACAAAGCACAAAAATGCTGATCCAAATACATTGTCTCAATTTTGAGCAGTATGTCTGTTTTTTTTATAATTTAAACTCTGATTTTTGTGAAATATTTTGCTTGAAACATGTTTGTGCTATCTTTCTTTAACATAAATGCCACTTTTAATCTTTCGTAATGACATTCAAAGGGTTGCTTAAATGTTCACATACTTTTTGCGGCCACTGTTCACAAGTATAGCTATTTTTAGATAGTAGCAACTCAATGTGGAAGTGTTTGATTAGGATGTGCAAATTCACTTTCCTTTCATGTTGCTGCAGTGTAACTGGTTGTGTTTGACTTCTCTGTGTTTTGTGCAGCCGTCGTAAGACTGAGGATTCAACTGTAGCACCAAAAGAACAGCAACCACAAGAGCTATTTTCACAGTACTTCTCCTTTTAAATTTTTCAAGACACTCAACTGAAGAGCATGCGAAACAGCAGATTTCAATAACCCATTCGTCTGTTCTTGATATCTCACTGTGAGTTTGTTATTTTCCCTTTTGATATGGACATTTACTTGATTTAAAATGAGATGCACATTCATTTAATATAATATTCATAAATATGTCTTTTCTGGATGGACTAAAACTGTTGGAATACCAATGTCTTGCCAGTTTTGAAATAAATTGCACAGACACTTACATATATATTTGTATTATATTGTCTTCTTACAAACTATAAACCATCAATTGCGAAAAAAATAAATAAAATAAAACATTTATATCTTAAATCTATACTTGAGCTTGGTGAAAGGACTACATGTCTTCTAAAAGAATTGTTTACCCAAAAATGAAAATTCATTTCAAGTCATTATTTACTCACCGTGATGTCAGTCCAAACTGGTATCTGTTATTTTGCCCATAAAATATATATATATATTCACATCCTTTTTTCCTACCACCACTGTTTATAGTGACCAAAAGGGCAAAAATGTATTTTGCATTATATTGCATAATATTTCAAGTCCTCTGAAGTCATAGGAACAGAACTGGAAAAAAAAAATTGCGTAGAAACAATTTTCACTCCGAAATTGATAATCAGGTTTACAAATAATTTCCAAGAAACAGCAAGTAACACATTGAATTAAACATTAAATTTTTAGATAGAAAGACTGAAATAGTATTTTCTTGTAAAATGTACCTCAATAATCATTGGTTTATTTACAGCTTTAAATAAACTACGAAAAAATAGATTCTTATGTGTATTTTATTCAAAAAGGCATATAGGTTTGGAACGAGGGAGAGTAAATAAAGACTTTTATTTCGAATTTTTATTTATATCTGAACGATCCCTTTAAATGCTCTTTAAGTACTTTTTTTTTTACGGTGCTTTTTATGGTTTTCCGCTTCAGTGACTTGAACAGGATCTACACATGGCTTATTTCTCGCTACTTTTGTTTAAAGGTCCCATGGCATGAAAATTTAACTTTATGAGGTTTTTTAACATTAATATGAGTTCCTTTGAGAAAATGAAAGCTCAGATGGCCCAATCCGGAATCTTCATTTTTTTAGTCATACGGGGAAAGGTTAACCTCCCCTTTCTTTGCTTTGCCCGCCAAGAGAATTTGGCCCGCCCATGAGAAAATAAGCTACTACCGTGCGAGGTGAGCGCAATATTTTTTTTCCCTCGAGAGACATCATGGCTTGCAAACGAGCGAAACATGGCAGTTGCCCCGCCTCTCTCCTCCTCATTAGCATTTAAAGCTACAGACACAGAAATGGCACGTCCTAAGGAAAGCTCATTGTGGGACTGGCTCGTAGTGGCTGAAATTCTGCACCAAGGCTGAATTTCGGGAAAGAGACTTCAGATACAGTACTTTTAAAAAATTCAGTCAGTTAGAACATTTAAAACAAACATTCTCTTTATTGGTTGTCCACATTTAAAAACATCCTTAAATGCCCCATTTTAGCTCTCTCTCTCAGATCATGTTCACAGGAAGTGTAAACAAACATTAATATGTTAAGCGTGCAAGCGTAATTTACCTCGGTGCCAATGCTCTGTTCCTCTGTGAATAATATATGATTTCTGGGACTGACCTATAAATTTTGCATTTCAACACAACAATTACGATATTTTGGGGGGAATATTTACATAAATGACTTGGCACTTGGAAGGAATTGCTGTTTGCTGTTGGGAGCTATACTTTTGCCTGAAATTTCAGCCATTTTGATGTTAATTCTTTGTGTTTTTGTGAACTACACCAGTGCAGATGTCTGCTTCATTCTGTGAGGTCTACATTCATATACAAAACATATCTGATTTACCTATTTTTGTATGTTTTATATATATAAATGACAAAATATATATATGAACAAAATGAGACTTGTACTCATTCAAAGGTCAGAAATGCTTATTGTTATAAGAAGAACGCAGCAAACATAAATAGAGAAAAATCTGTGCCGCCCTCATATAATTTCAGGAAATTGACATGTGTTGCATCATTAGTAGGACATTTTCAATTCCCCAAAATTGTCCAAGGTCTCGTGCAGTGCATCTTGTGATTGGCCGGTTGTCATCTTTTGGTGTCACATGAGCAAGACGATGATGTAGATGAGCAGCAGGCAGATGAGGATGAGGGAGAAGTTGATGATGAGATCTTGTAGGTTGCGTTTGGTCTGCGGGTTCACTTCGATGTTGGATGCCCTCCGGATGGCTGAGCGTGTCATGTGCTGCACCCTCTCCATCCTGATCAAGACTGTAGACTAGTGGCAGTGAGAGGAATGGACGGACGGGGATGGTGGTGCTATTATTGCGTTCTTGTGGTGCTTTATGGTGAAAATGAGAGAACATTTTCTATTTTAAGATAATGATACAAGACTTAGAAATAAAAAAATATATACATATAACAGGTGATAACAAAAGTATTTATAGTAGGCTAAATTTGTTCTGATGCGGGTGACTCAATCTTTGTTTAACCCTCTGATGCATGTTGCCTACTATAGTCCACTGCTTTTTTTTTAACCTTTCAGGTTGTGATGGTGCATCCTTGCCCATAATTCTATATCAATGTCTTCTTGTTTTTGTATTTATGACAACATAAAATACTATTTTCTTTTGCAATAGCGAGATGTACAACACTCTCAAAATCCATAATTTTGGGTAAACATAGCAAAAGTAAATAGATTCGTTTTATATTAAATATAAATATGCATAAAATAAATATAATATATAATAAATAAAATAACAAATATTACACACACATAAAGCTGTTTTTTTTTTTTTACCCTGTAAGATAAATGCATCATTTTGTAGAGGGAAAATCTTATTGTTTATATTATTTATTTATTTATACAATTTATGTTGTTATTAAATTACAGTATATAATGTATTAATATTATTTTTAAAAATCCAATTTATTTTACTGAATTTATAAATGCACTATATATATATTTTTTAAAAACATTAAGGGATTTACTCTTAAAAGATCTAAATAAAGAATTTTGAGGAGTGGTAAAAATAAGTAAAAGTCTATATTTATATATTTATTTATAAATTATATATTTTATTTATGTATTAAAAATCTAAGTAAATAAATAAATATACTTTATTTATTTATTCATTCGAAACATGAAGCAATTTTTCTTTTCCTTTTCCTTCCCGATTTAATAATTCACGTATCGGGGGTTCATGTAACTGATTAACAAATATATAAAAAGTAATTAAAAACACTACATGAAAATGCCATGTATAGCCTAGATATCATGTGAATTTCATTCAAAGTTTTCTTTATTAGGAATTCTTTAATAATAACAACAAGAACAGGATTCTTACAATCTGATTGTTATTTCATTCTTTTTATTCATAGCATGCATTTGTCTTGCATATTTGCGATTTGCCAAAGTGATGTGATTAGTCATACCATTATGGCATAGTTGCATACCATACGTATGGCATGAATACTCTGTAGCTCAAAGAGTAGGCCCTACTGACTGTCGTAGGCCTACTCTTACCCTCTTTAGGGCACTCGTGTTAAAAGCTGTGAATGACATTCGTGAGTGTCGGCCACTTGTCTAACAGCTAAAGCTATTCTCTTATCGGCTGTCTCCAGATATATGAGCTCAATAATTCCAGGCTGCACATCTAAAGTTCACTTACAGTCAGTCGAGTCACTCTAAATGTCAACACGTCTTTAAATTATATTGTAGTCAACCATTGATTGTTGATGCATTCGTTCAGGTCCTGTTTTCCCTTTACTGAAACTGATGTACAAATAATTCCAAGTAAGACATTCTTTAATTATTTTCCAGGAACAACATTCCTACTAACAAAGTTAATTGACCATTAAAGAGACAAGAGTTAGACAGCCTGTCTTTCTCTATCTGTCTCTCTCTTGCTTACCCAGCTTCAGGACAGTTCGAATGGGAAATTTCAGTATTTCACAGTGCTGTAGTGTATTAGGCTTGAACTAGATTTTAAAGCAGCACTATGTAACTGTTTCTGTGTTCAAAATTTGCTAAATGTATATAATGAGCGAGTACATCATGAATTCATCTTCCAAACAGCTTTTTTGTCTTATTCTGAATCACTACGGTACATGTATAATAAGTACTTATATTTGGACTACTGTAGCCTGGTCGGGTCGTCACCGCTGCGGAGTAACACATACCTGCGTGAATCGCCATAGACATAAACTTAGAGAAGTAGCTCCGGTTGGAATGTTCTTCCGCGGGATGTGTGCAGTTCTGTTTATTAACCGCTAGAGCGACAAAAGTTACATAGTGCTGCTTTAAGAGCGAAGTACTTGACCCGAGTGATAAAAATAGCAAAAGCAGAGCCTTATGAACTTGATCTTGTTTTAAAGGCTCCAAAAGCCAGTGTTTATCAGGGGAGGCCCTGCATTCCAGTCTTGTGATCCAGTGACAATTATAACTGCTTAGCTGCAAAGTAAACACTAGCATCTGTGATCAGGATGGATTGAAGTTTAATAAAAGCCCACTAGATTTGCCTTTTATTCCATTTCAAAAGACTATACAATGATCCTCTGTACTGGCTGTACAGTAAAAATAAATAAAACGTCAACACACATTTATATTATGTTAGAGTTGATCAAATTATTGTTTGACTTTGACCCACTGTTTTCAGTTCGCTGATTTGCATGGAAACAAATTTTATGAAAGCCGTATTTCGGTTCAGGATGCAAATGTGCTTTTGGTGTTCTTTCTAGACAATTCGTCCTCTGTGTCCTTCAGGTTTGAATGTATTTTTAATCTCTTCCACTATTGTCTGATGTAAACCACATGCAATGTCATGGAAATCTTCAGAATCAATCTTTTAATATTAAAGCTAATATTTTGACGTTATTTTACTAAAGTAGTTGTGATCATTCAATTCAAGGTCTCTTAAACTTAATATTTACTTGATTAAAGTCTTTTTCTTACCCGTAGAATGGCAGCTGAAGGAGGAAGCAGTCCTTTCAAATATAAGGTAAAGTGTGAAACAGCAGGAAAATGTTGGAAGTAGACACTCAGGCTACAAAGTTTATAGGAGAAACTAGAAGGGGTGGGGAAAACAAATGGGAGGGCGGTAGATGCAAAGGGAACACATCCCATCTCAAGATCACAGGACGGGACTGATTGTATCTGCTCCTCCATCCAGTGTTTGTTGTGATGACACATGACTGATGGAGGAAG